ATTTACTTTTATAAATAACATTTAGTATTGTTGGTCAGAATAAGAAAACTTCTCCTTCACCCAAAATTTTTTTTTATAAATGTTAAAAATGAATAGGGCAATAAAGCCAAAATAAATTTTTATAAAATATTTACTTTTTGGGAGGATTTTTTGGGGTATTACCAAAAATGGTAGCAAAAAAAGTTATTTAGTGATTCAATATTTAAATAACAAAATTCTTTCTTTAAAAAACTAATATATTTTTGTAAAAATAAACTTTAAATTACGAGTTATTTGCTAAAAAATTAAAAAATCAGAATTAAAAATCAGAAAAAGCAAAAATTACAATTAAATTAGTACCATTACAAATCAGAATTTTAAAAATTTCAATTGCAGGAAATCACAAAATCAGAATTTTTAAAATACCAGAATTTTACAATTTGTTTTTACAAACTTGAAAAAATCAGAATTTAATTTACAAAAATTGTAAAATCAGAATTAAAGTTTGTTTTTGCGAAAATACATTTTAATTCTGAAAAGTTAAGGAAAGAAACACATTTAAATTCTGATTGGATAAATGTGTTTTTTCGGGAAATTTCAGAAAATACAAAAATACAAGTCAGAAAAATACAAGTATTTTCTTTCCGGAAAATATTTTGTATTTTTTAATTCCGGAAATACTTGAAAATATTTGTTCTTTCCGGAAATTTCAGAATTATGCAAGTACAAAATCGCACTCTTAAAAAATCAGAATTTAATAACAACTTTAGAAACACAAACTTAAGTAAGAAAAATAAAAATATAATATCTAGTTAAACAGAAAGGCTACAAGGCTTTTTATCTTTAATTTTCTATTCTTTTATTTTTATTTTAACTCATTTCCTGAATTTTGCGCATGTCCAGCTTTAACAAATCTTTTTATAATTTATCTGAAAAATGAGAGATGATCTCACTTTCTATTGTTTCTTTTACTTAAAACGTTGAAACATTAATTAAATAAAGGAAAAGGAAGGAAAATAGGGGGAAAATTCTGTAAAATAATTTTTTTCTAATAAATTAAAGCATTTTTGCTTACATAAAAAATTTTGTTTCGAGAAAAATGATTATTTAATGATTAACAAGAGTAAAAAAAAGAGATTATTTTAAAAATTAAAAAATCAAAAAATTAAAAAAAATTAGAGGACTTGGGAAAAATAAATTACTAAAATACAAAGAAAAAAATTAAAAATAAAGACGGAAAAAATCGTTGTTGTAATATTCCTAGATGGTAGTTTAATAGTTAAAATACTGCTTATAAAAAAATTTAATATTCTTTGAAATATTGATCAGAATTTAATTAATTCAGAATAGGAAAGGGTTAATTTACAATCGTTAAAATTGTGTTTTCTTTCCGGAAAGAAAACACAAATAATTCTGATTATTTAAAGGTCTTCCGGAAAAGAAAATAATTAATTAATTAAGAAGAATCCGGAAATGAAATACAAAGAAAACACAATAACTTTCTTTCCGGAAGGTATGAAAAACACAAGGAAAATTTAATATTTTCCGGAAAAATACATCAGTCAGAAATTCTGATTTTTATATTAATTATAATTAATTCCGGAAAATACATGGAAAATACATAACAGACAATCCGGAAATAAAAAACAAGCACAGGAAAATTTCCGGAAGAAATACATAATTCTGATTTTAAAATTCTGTTTTTAAGAAGCGAACAATTATACATATAATTTAATTATTTCCGGAAAACACACAGTTATTCTTTCCGGAAAATTTTATCAACATATTCTTTCGATATATAAACATTGTAAGCTAGCAAATATATCCACTCATTCTCAACTTTAGAAGCTAAAATTTTTTTTGTAGAATGAACGGAAAATTAGTCATCCCCCAAAAACGTTTATAAATATTTATTTTTTCTGATTTTTGTATGTCATGATGGCATTTTATTTTTTATATAAGCATTTACTATGTGTAATAATATTTAATAATCGGTTAGTTTTTAAGGAAAATGAAAGACTTTTTTTAGTTTTGAATTATTGGAGAAGTTATTTTTGTTTCTTATTTGTGTAGAAATAAGATTTTGTAAAATAAAAGTAGATAATTAAGATATAATTTTGAGTGTTACAAATGAGAGGAATAAAGCTTTCCGGAAAATAAAATTGAATAATGATTTGTATGTGTTTTCCGGAAAAAATCAGAATTAATAATCAGAATTAATAAGATTTCCGGAATAGAGTCTTCCGGAAATATTTAATAATTTTCCAGCAAATATTAATTGTGTTTTCCGGAAAACAATTTGTAATTTGTATGTGTTTTCCGGAAAAAAATCAGAATAAATAAATACGATTTTCGGTATGTGTTTTCCGGGAATATTTAATTACTTTCCGGTAAATATTAATTGTGTTTTCCGGAAAACTATTAAGTTTAATAAATAAAATCAGAATTATAAAATCAGAACAATGTATTTCTTTTCCGGAAAACTCTAAAAATAAAATATATGGAGTATCACGCATTTTAATTAGCAAAAAAGCTTCAAAAATAAAATTCACTTAAATGGATATTTTAAATTAATATTTTTTGAAGTAATGATTGACAGGTGGGCAGAGGTATAATTATGGTGGAAAAAAAGTTGATAGGATAATAACAGTGGAAAAAAGTTAGTTGACCAGAAAATGCGCAAAATGGACTGTGGACGAGTTAATTTTTTCCAAAAATTGAAAAAATAAATTTATTTAAAAAATTTTTTTAATAATTTTAAAAATACAGGGAGAGAGTAATTATGAAAGCTAAATGTTTGTAAAACAAACTTTATAAGTAAGTCAAGTCAAGTGGTGTATAATGAGAGGTCAGTTGCGCGAATGGTTTAAAAGACTGTCTCAATTTGTGTTATTTTTAAGGGATATTTGGGTAGTTGGAAGGAACGGCCATAAATCCAGACGGGGGAGGGGATGGTCAGTTTATAAAAATGAAAATATTTAAGTGGATAATAAAGTAATTGAGAGGTAAAGATAGGTAAAGGGAGGGGGGAGGAGTGTTCGAGTGCTTCTTCTTAGACCTTATGGAGATTGAAAATAAATATTATTATCATTAAAATTTAAAAATTAAAATTTCAAAAATTAAAATATTCTAAGAATTTTATGTTCGAGGAAAAAATTATTTAATTCAAAATAAATTAGGTAATTACTGGGGCAGGCATTTTAAAATATTGTTTTTATATTTTAGTAAAATATTTTTGCAAAATTTCCTAATAATTTTAAAAAATTATTTTTAAAATATTCAAGGTATTTTTAAAACATTCAGGAATTTAAGGAATGAAGTAAAAATATTTAAAAAATATTAAAACTAAAAAAGGAAGTAGCGGTGATTGAAATAAAATTAAAATTAATTTTAAAAAAGCGAAGGGTGACTCAACAGAGATTTTGTTAATTAAATTAAATTATTAAAAAACAGTTGCGCAATATTGGAAAATTAAAAAAAAATTTTTTAATTTTTTTCTGAATATTAAAAATAAAATAAAATGTTCGGCATTAAAAAATGATTAAAATCTTTCCTTTTTTAATTTTGCGCAATTGTTGCGCTAAGCACACGCCTCCCTTTTCACCTTTGTTTCAGGCGAATACAAGGAAAATTTAATGGCTTAAAGGAAGAATGGTGACATGAAAGAGATTAGAATTAAAAGGCATAAAATGATAAGCGGTATTTTTATTTGGAAAAAATTTCTTTGAAGGCAAAAAAATTTTTTTTGAGGCATTAGAGGGTAGGTTAGACCTTGAGAGGAATTTTAAATGAGGGGTTGAATCAGTGCCTTTCTCTAATCGGAAAAGTCGAGGGGTTCTGGCTGTTCAGGTACTTAGCGGTTCCGTTACTTAAATATGAGAAGTTGGGCTCCCTAGGGATCGAGAATGATAATATGTTTACTGGAAGGAAGCGGGAGTTGAAGGAGGTTTACTGGAAGGATTGAAGATGGAACGCTTAGGTAATTTACGGAAAAGACAAAGGGTTCTGGCTGTTTAGGTACCTATCGGTTCTATTACTTAAATCTGAGGTCGGTACCCATAATCAGCTCACGAGGGATCTTAAACGGCACTAATTTCAATGGAAGGAAGCTGGAGTTGAAGAATAAACGAAATTAAGATAGAAAGCAAGGTAAGACCTAGGTAATAAAAAAGGTAATAAAATAGGTAAGTAATAATAAAAAAGTAGGGTTGACGTGTGCCACATTCTCGTTACCACTCTTAACAATTATTAATTTTTTTCTTATCAGTAAATATTAAGTCCATAATTCCGCAATAAATATTAAGCAGGTATGTGTGTGTTGATTCTTTTATTAATAATAGATAAAAATTAAAAAATATAAAAAAATCTAAGGACAATGGAAATATTAAAAAGTTTTGAATTATTAAACAAAGAAAAGGAGAGATTAATTTTGGTTAATTAAAGTGGATTAATTAAGATTAATTAAAGTGGCGGTCATTGAAGGATTAAAAAAGCTATTGTTCTCCTCAAAGTTGTGATAGGCAAAAGAAAATATTTGAAAAATGAACGGAACTAAAATAAATATTTTTATAATAAATATTAATCCTTGAATGATTTTAGATGTGAAAATAGGTAAAAAATAAAATTTCAAAGGAATTTTGAATTTTTGTATGTCATTCAGGCTTCAGATGTGAGCAGTTAGTGATAAAGTTTAAAAGCAATAAGACTTGCGCGAGCGCTTGTAAAATAGGTGAATGAAGGCTTAGAGCCATCAAAATTTGCCTAAATATCTTAAAGGTAGTTAACTTACTGCTCTAAAAATTTCAGAATTTTTGGTTCTGTATTTCAGAACTTATGATCGAAAAAGCAAGAAAAGGCGGGCATTTTTAACAGAAATTCTGGTTTTTTGTTCATAAATTCTGAAATACAAAACAGAAAATTCTGAAAATTTTAGAGGGGTTAATTGACTTATTTGTAGATATTTTTAAAAAATTTTACAATCAACCCTTTTTATTTAATTGATTTATAAAGTTTAGCGCCCTACTAAACTTGCGCCCAAACGTCCAAATAAATTCTGTTTCTTCCTTGTTTTTTTACCGTTCCCCTCATGTTTTAGATATTGTTGTTTAGTGGCCTTTGGCGGCAAACACTCGACCTTTCTACATTTTTTAATTCCCTCACACTTTTTTTATTTCCCTCATTTTCTTCAAGGTATTTGTATGTAACAACAACAATGTTCATTTCACAGTTGTTGCGCGGATGAACGGATTGAAAAAAGGAAAAAAGAAAGAAATAAAGACTGGCGGTAGGAACAGATGAATAAATGGGTTTTTGTTTAAGTGGCAAAAAAAGGAAGAATAGTTTTGAATGTTGGGGGAAGGGGATGGCTGGAAGGAATGGAGAAAAGGAGAGAAAGTGTTTTTTGATGAACAAGGAAGAGAAAGTTTATGTAGTTTACAAAAATGGGAAAAAGGAGATTTTATGGAAATTACAAATTTATGAGAGAGATATTTATGGATTTGAGACACTATGGATTAACAAAAATAAAGATAACTTTCATTATTGGAGATATAACTGTCAGATAGATTTATTGTATTTTTAATGAGATTATTATACTATAGTTCTGTTCAGATAATAAACATAAAATTAAAATCAGAATTAAATTACAACAAATAATAAACAAATCAGAATATTATCAGAACTATCCTTCATAAATCAGAATTAAATAAAAACATTAATTAATATTTAAACAAAACTTAATAAAATCAGAATTTAATAAAAACATTCAAACACAAAATCAGAATTTAATAAAAACATTTAGTAGTTTTAGAATAAAATTTAAAATCAGAATCTCATCCAAACATCTCTTTATATGTATAGGAGTCAAAACTATTAATAAAATTAAAATTTTTCCTCATTAAAAATCCATTTAAAAACAACACGAAAAGTGTCTGTGGCAGATAATTTATTGCATATTTTATTATTTTACCTGCGGACCCGTTCATTCATTAATTCGGCTTTTTGTTCCCTCAGTATGTATTACACGCGTAAAAATAAAAATATTTTAACTGTGTGTGTCATCATTAAAAAAGGCGATTCTGTTTTTTGTGGATAAAAAGAAAAATTTTCTTTGCGCGACAAAAAAAGACATTCTTTTTTTGTTATTTCTCAATTTTATCGGCCGAAAAGATCTGTTTCGACCCAAAAAATAAAATTTATGTAGATGAGGGGAACGAAGAGTTTTTGGAATATTTAATAAAGTGTGTTTGGAATTTATAGGAAAAACAATAAAAAAATGTTTGGAATGAGTTCTGATATTTGTTTTTATTTTATTCTGAAATTTATTTAAATGTTTTGTTGATATGTTGTGTTTTAAAGAATTTCTGGTTTGGTTAGTCGATTTCAGAATTTTTATTCAGAATTATTATTTTAAGTTTCCGGAATTGTAACCGGAAAGGAGGGTAATGTTTTTAGGTTTTCCGGAAATGAGAAAATTAATTAATTTTATTTCCGGAATTTTTCCGGAAAAGTGATTAATTTTCCGGAAGTGTGAAAAGAATTATTTTTATTTCCGGAATTGTAACTGGAAAAGAGTGCAATGTTTTTAAGTTTTCCGGAATTGTAAACAAATAATGTTTAGACAAAAACAGAAAAACAAATCAGAACAAAATAAAAACAAAATCAGAATTTTAATTAAACAAATCAGAATAAAATAAAAACAAATCAGAATAAAACATAAAACAAATCAGAATAAAATAAAAACAAAATCAGAATATTAATTAAACAAATAAATATTCCAGACTTTATTTTTCTGTTTGAATGTTTTGCTTTTATAAATCTGAAGGTTTTTCTGGAGAGAAATGTTTTTAATAAAATAAAATTAATGCCAATGTTTGTTCAACAGTCCCCAACTGTCAGAAAAGGACAAAAGTGTGGAGAAGAAAAAGAGACAAACTAAAACCGATTAACGGCTTCGGACTAGGCAGAGGTGTTGTGGTAGGTTTATCGGACAATTATTGTATTTATTTAATTAGCTAAAGCAAACAGAAAATATCAAAAATTTTGTAGTTTTGAAGGAAAAATTGTAATAAAATTTATTTAAATAATAAAAAAATATTTTTAATATTAAAATGGCTAAAAAGCAACATTTTTTACTTTTATTGAAGAAAAAATTTGGAAAAAAATTTGCAAAGTAAATTTATTAAAATTAGTTAAAAACACACATCTGTCAGAATCTTATTATTCGATTATTTTATTTTTTTGTTTAAAAAATTTTTTTTTTAATTTTTAATAATTTTTGGCGCTAAAATTTTAACGGAAAAATAAGAAAAAATATTTTTCCGGCTTAAAAATATTTTTTTAAGTAATTTAACTGTGACTACAAAGTTGCAATACTTAAATTGAAACAAAAACAGCGGGAGAAGATTGCGGGAAAATAAAAAAATGTTTTGTACTTTTAATAAAAATAGTTAAAATGTTACTGAAACTATATTAAATAAAATTCTGATCAATCATTTATATATTCTGATATATTAATAAACATTTTTGGGTAATATAAACACAGCAGGGAATTGTCGTTAAAACTTATACACATACCTATGTTTTGTTTAAATAATAAACTCGTATTAAAATCAGAATTAAAATACAACAAATAATAAACAAATCAGAATATTGTCTAAACTACCTATTTTAAATTAAATCAGAATTAAATAATAAAATTTATTTGATAATTTTTCAGAACAAAACATGAACGAATCAGAATTTTATACAAACATTCTTACTTTTAAAATCAGAATTTAATAAAAACTTATATTGGATAATTTTTCAGAACAAAATGTAGGATCAGAATTTCATCAAAACATTATTAGTAATTAAATAAAATCAGAATTTAATAGAAACATTAATATTTAATGACAAAATCAGAATTTTATCTGAACATTACTTATTTAATAAAATCAGAATTAAATAAAAACTTAATTATTTAGAAATACAAAATTAAAGCAAAACAAAAAACAAACAAAATAAAATCAAAATAAACAAATTTCACCCAATCTAATTTCATCCCCATCCTTTGTGTATATTTTCTCCAATAATCACTATCAATTCTTAACAATCTTTCTGCAGCAAATATGCCTTCTTCCATACTTGGTATTTGTCTATCAAGGAATATTTCTTTTAATTTTTTGGATTTTTGTTGTTTTTCTGGTTTTGATAATATCTGAAAAATAAAATCAGAATTAATTAAAAATCAGAATTATTTTAAAAATCAGAATTAAATTAAAACAAAAAATCAGAATTAAATTACAACAAAAAAACCAGAATTAAATTAAAACAAAAAACCAGAATTAAATTACAACAAAAATATCAGAATTAAATTAAAACAGAAAATCAGAATTTCATCCGAACATTTATTAAATTAATTTCGAGTGCTGGATAATTATTTTAAAAAATATTTTATTCTTGTGGACTCCTAGGCAAGGAGGAGGGAAGTGAGAGAAAGTACAGTATATCATAGGCGGAATGAGGAAATTTTGAATATTAAATAATTAGTCTCCAATAAATTAGTGCCGATAATTAAAAAATATTTTCTCGTATTTTTTGGGCATTTTGAATTTTGACATTTCGACATTTACTAATTTAATACTTAAAAATTAATTTAATTTATTTAAAATTACCCCATCAATTGTTTTATAAACACTTTCTTCAGTTAAAGTAAATTTATTAATAACGGGTGCATGTCCCATTGCCAACATAAGATTGGCGCTAAACGCCTTAATGCATAAATAATTATGTTAAAAATTAATTAATTAAACTTGTTCAGCATAAACAGGCATAACAATTATAGGGACACCTGTACATAAGGCTTCACGTAAGCTACAAAAAATAACTTGAAAGATTTACTTAAGGAATGGGAGTAAGAATATATTAAATTTTGGACATTTTGAGAATTTTAAATTATATACCGTAAATATTCCAATAGACGCCCTGAGCGTCTATTTTTCAATGGGTCCCATTGGGTGGGCTTCCAATGGGGCATGGGCTTTTATAAGGGCATGGGCTGCTATTTTTCAATACCCCTTATTGAGTGGTCTTCTAATAGGACATGGGCTTCTATTGGAGCCGGGCTTCTATTAGGACCATACGGTATATATTTAACATTCATTTCCCACCTTTTACTGCCTCCATGTGAAATAAAAGCCTTAGTTTTGTGATGCGCAAGAATTTCAAGTTGAGGAGCCCATTTAGTAAGCAATAAGTGTTTGGCCAAATTAGGCAAATCAGGCCCATTATAAACAAAAATAATCCGATAATCTTTAAACTGATTAAAAGCCCTCAATAACGATTCATAAACATATTTTGGTGCTCTACTCCAATCTACATTTGTGCCAAAAGCTGCATAAATTGTGCCTGATAGGGAAAAAGAGGTGAAGTGATTTTAAATTCTATAACTTTTGAACCAATGGATATTTTTAATTGGTTTTTGCTCCATTTGATAGAGCAGAAAATTTTCTACATAATGAAATTTAGAGTAAAATTTCTGGGTATAGATAACAAAAGTTATGGTCGAAAAACAACCAAAAATTGACGCTTTTTGCTTAGAACTGTTAGTTTTTCGGTCATAACTTGTTTTATTTCCGCTATAAAATTTTGATTTAAATTGCATTTTGTAGAAAATTTAATTCTCTATCGAATAAGCCTGAAAGCATCAAAAAATCTTTTTTTATTCAAAAGTTATTCAAGTTGGAATACACCAGGTTTCCCTCACTCTGTAAAATTACCTTTCGACTCTGGCGCCTCCACAAACTCGGCAAATTTTTTAGGTAAAGTTTTGGCAGATTTACAATGTGCCCCCACATTCTTCATGTCGGTTCCAACTATTTTTTAAAGAAAATTGGAAAATATTTTTTATAAAAATTAACTGGCAGCAGGCCATCCAAGCCTATCAACAGAATCTGAATATTGGAGAGACGTTCGCGAATAAAATTCTGACCAAGTAAAGTCATTTACTCCAAGTTTTTTCATGTTAACCATTTGATGGGGTATAACTGGGGATTGAATTTTGAAAAATATTTGAAATTTTACTTAAATCGATGTAAATGAATTCTATAATAGTTTCGTAGAAAGCAATGATTCTGCTTGTAAATTTTTTAGGCGAATAGACGTCATCTTCGTTGGTAGGATATGGAGGGCAGAAAGGAGCACGAGAGACCCAATTCCTTCCTAAAAATTTTATAGTGATTTTATAATGATTCTTCTCTTTTGAGAATGAAAGTTAAAGGATAAAGTTAGGTAATTAGTGGAGCCTCAATGAAAATATTTGCAATTTGTCAATTTTCGAGAATTATGAGTATGTAGTGTTGGGTATGGAGAGCTAGAGTGAGGATCGCTTTATCATTTAGCCGTTCAACCCTCAAGTCTCCCTCACAGCGATTAGTCCTAGTTCCAAGGGAACCTCGGGCCCTCAACTTCACCCTCAACGGGAGCACCAGAGTTGGCCTCGGCTCCAAAAAAAATAAAAATTTCCATTACCAACACTCCTAGTCGACTCCGCAGATATTAAACTAGAAGCAGCAGTAGCATAAACAATAATATGTGGTCGATGGCCTTTCCTCCCATTTAATTCCCATAATCTATGCTTTAGGGTAGTCAAGGCAAAACCAAAAGACCAGAAAAGGTCGTCGATAACAATAAAATCCCATTCTTCGTTTACGATATCTACAACCTGATAAAGAAAAGGTGTTAAAGACTCGGTGGCCGATAAACACAACCAACCGTATCTGTCCCATTTTCCAATAAAACATCAAGTAATTTATCCATAGCAACAAAATAATGCCCTAAATAAAGGGCCGTTAGCCTTTCATGCCAAAGTATTTGTGCCATTCTATTCTTCCATTCCTCATCCTGCCTTCTGGGTAATTGAAAACGAATGGCACGAAGTTTGGGCGAAGCCCCCTCCATGGGGATTGTGTCCAAAAATGAGACAGAATGCCCCTTCTCTACAAGCCTTGAAAAGGAAAATTTTTAGGGCAGCGAATAGGGAGGTGACGGTGAATGAGGGAGGGAGAGTTGAAGGTGAAAGATGGAGGGAGAGAGGTGAACAATTACAGCTGTCGCGTCTTCTCTTTTGTGTTCCGGAAACATTCCGGAAAAATATTAGCAGTGTAAATACACTCTAGTCATTTATACTAGATGGACTAGATTAATTCCTTTAACTCACGTCACGTTAAAATTAATTTAAAAATTAGGAAAAAAATTATTATTATGTCCCTGATTAAAACACAATTAAAAAAAGGAAAATAATAAATCATTAAAATATACAAACATTTCCATAAGGGGACGCATAGATCCAAAATGACTGCCGTTATCATGAAAAAATGTAAAAAGAAACTTGGCCCCTTCGCAGTGTAAATTGATCAAAAGAAATAAAATAAAGATCAATAGGGAATAAAATAATTTCATTTTAGTTGCTATAATTAATTGGAATTGTATTTTTGTATTTTTCTTGTGTTTTTGTATTTTTAAAAAGTTTCCGGAAAATGTTATTTCTCACTGTGTTTTTATTTTCCGGAAAACACGAAAAAGGAAAACACTTTCCGGAATACAGTTAATTGTGTTTTCGTTTTTGTCTTCCGGAAAATGTATTTATTCTGTGTTTTTGTATTTTTTAATATGTTTCCGGAAACTATGTATTTTATTTTTAACTTCTCCGGAAAATGTTTATATTTTTTGTTAATTAAAAATATGCAGTAATTTAACGTAAAATTTTTATTAAAATTGTAACAGTCTGTCTATATTTAGAATTTTTTTATTATATTTTTAGAAAAAATTAATAAATTGAGCAAACCAAAAATTGCGCAGGTTGAAGACTAAAAAATAAAGTTTTACTAAAAATATTTATATAATTTTGGTAATTAAAAAATTAAAATAAAATATAAATTATAAATTTGCTTTAGAATGATGAAAATGAAGACTGATAAGAAAATGATTAATGAGTTTTTTTTAATTTTTATCAGAAAGGGAAAAATGTTCTCATTACTTTATGGAGTATTAAAATATTTTTTTCTGCTACATAGTAGGCATTTTTCAGGAATGTATTTCTGTATTTCTTTAAATATTCTTTCCGGAAAAGTGTACAAAATATATTCCGGAAAATACATCTTTATTTTTTTATTTCATTAAATTTTCCGGAAAATACAGTCGTTTTCCGGAAATATTAAGAAATTTATAGATGTGTTTTTTCTTTTGTCTTTCGGAAAGTTTCCGGAAAATACTTTTTAAAGTGTTTTTCCGGAAAATACTCGCTACTTTTAAAGTCTGTATTTTTCCGGAAAACATTTCCGGTAATATTCTGAATGTCTATTTTTATTGTATGTATTTTTTTTTGTATTTTTCCGTAAGTATGTTGTATTTTACTGCTAATCTTCTCTCATTTTTTTCAAGCTTTATTATTTCCGGAACAGAGTTCAAGTATAAAAGCCTAATTAAAACATGCTTTATCCATTCTTCAATTTTCTACCGCCATCGTTATGCATTGCTACATTCCTTTTGCGCGTCCAAAGACGGGAAGCATGCGCACAGCTCGAGATGAAGAAGACAATACAATATCAGAAGCGACCGCCGAAACTTTAACTGAAAAAACTGCCGAATTGGAAGGTGAAACAACTGCTGAATTGGAACGGGAGAATACCGCCGTCAGTGCAGTACTACGGGATGACAAAACACAGATTGAGAAGGAAAATGAGGATTCTACCGTCGTTAGCGATACGCATACTGAACAATCGTTGAGGGCGGGGCTTAAGGTGGGGTTTTTGTTTGTTTAGGAACACAGGAGAAAATACAATATTTTCCGGAAAAAACACACTTCCGGAAAATACAAAAACTTTAGGTTTAAGAAAAATACAATATTTTCCGGAAAAACACACACTTCCGGAAAATACAAAAAATATAGGTTTATATTTCTCTTGTATTTTTCCGGAAAATACAAAGCGAAAAACACAAAACAAAAACACATGTTACAAATTTTCCGGAAAGCTATAGAAAAATACAAAAGATCACAACATAGACTTTTCCGGAAAACACTTCCGGAATGATTATAGGGAAAATACGAAATCAAGCTCATTTATTTTAAGGGTGTCTACACACTTCCATTGGTTCTCAGCATATTTGCTTGCTGTTTCGGTAGCAGTTTTCAAGTGGGATTTCATCTTGGCGCTCTAAATACTCCGGGTATTTTAGAGAAAACTTTTTAAATTTTCAAGCCTTTTTTATTTCCAGCAAAAATACTTATTGAATGGCAGAGAAGTTCATATAAACGAATTCATGGCCCCGATTCTGTTTACAAAGAGGAGATAATTTGGCTAGTTTTTAATGACTAGAAGGGGATAATCAAAAAAAATTTCAATTTAATTTTCAGGTCATTAACTGCTTCTATTCTCCTTCTAGGCGGAATTTTAGCAAATGCCCTTCTTGCTTCTATCACCCATCGTTTTGGCCGTAAAGGAACGTTGATGTACAACAATGCTTTTGTGGTTATTGCAATGATATTGCAGCAAATGGCTAAAAGTTTTGATAATTATATCTACATGATGATCTCAAGATTTTTCATTGGCTTCAATTCTGGTAAGTTTGGTTTAATAAATTAATGCTGGTAAACTTGTCTAAAATTAAAGTTGGTAAACTTAAGTTTACTAAAAGTTGGTAAACTTAAGTGTGACGAAATTAAGGTTGCTAAACTTAAGTTTTTAAAATTAAAGTTGGTAAACTTAAGTTTACTAAATTCAAGTTGGTACACTTAAGTTTGACAAAATTAAAGTTGTTAAACTTAAGTTTTTAAAATTAAAGTTGGTAAACTTAAGTTTACACAAGGTTGGTACACTTAAGTTTACTAAATTCAAGTTTGCAAACTTAAGTTTACTAAGTTAAAGTTGGTACTCTTAAAAATCATTCCTGAACTTAAAACAATTTTATTTTCAATTTTCAGGAATCAATATGGGACTAGCATCAATATATCTTAGCGAAATTGCTCCAATAAATCTGCGTGGAGCGATAGGGTGTATGTCCAATGTCTTCCTCTATACAGGCTTTCTTTTCGCGTTGGTTGTTGGCCTGCCTTTTATGTTGGGAGATGAGGAAAATTGGCATTTAATATTTCTACTTTCCTACGTAAATTCCCTTGGGTTTCTTCAAAAAATAATTTAATTATTTTAGATACCTGTAAGTGTTCAATTAACCTTGTTGGGCTTCTTCTGTCCCGAATCACCCAAGTACTCCTACATTGTTCATGGAAATTTTATGGAAGCTGAGAGGAGTCTGCAATTGCTTAGAGGAAGGAATGATGTGAATAAATTTTTTTAAATTAATTTTTAAGTTTGCAAACTTAAGTTTGCTAGAGAACAATTTTTGAGAGACTTGAATTTTAAATTAAAAGTTGGTAGACTTAAGTTTTTAAAATTAAAGTTGGTAAGCTTAAGTTTTTAAAATTAAAGTTGGTAGACTTAAGTTTATAAGTAAAAGGGTAAACTTAAGTTTGCAAACTTAAGTTTTTAAAATTAAAGTTGGTAAGCTTAAGTTTGCAAAATTAAAGTTGGTAAGCTTAAGTTTTACAAATTAAAGTTGGTAGACTTAACTTTTTTAAATTAAAGTTGGTAAACTTAAAAACCATTACACCTTTTCTATTCAGGTAAAAGAAGAAATGGATATGCTAGACAAAGAAGCATCCACAGCCAGATCAACTTCACACCAAAAAATTGGTTTTTGCCAAATGCTAGAAAAAAAGTATTTACGTTGGTCACTCTATTTGGGCATTTATTTAGTCTTTTCTGTCCAAACGAGTGGAAGTGCTCCAGGTATTTTGTTGATACCTTCATATTTCTTTTTTAAAATTTTAAGTTGGTGTCTACTCCACAAAAATATTTGAGGAAGCAAAACTCTCTCAACTTAGTAGGAATATTCTTTTAATTTTTAAATTATTTAATTAAGATGCACAATTAGCAACATGTGGAATTGGTGTTGTTAACGTTCTCTCAATTCTTGCTTGTGTCTATTTGGTAAGAAAAAACATAAACCTTGTAAACTTAAGTTTACGAAAACAAGCATTTTTTTTGCAACTTGTTTTATATTCAAGTTTATTAACTTGTTCGTTAAAACTTAAAACTTGAACTTAATTTAAATTCAAGTTTACAAACTTGATTCTCTTAAAACTTGTTTTTGCAACTTAAGTTATATTCAAGTTTATAAACTTGTTTTATTTAAAACTTAAAACTTGACTTAATTTAATTTAAGTTTGTAAACTTGATTTTCTCTTAAAACTTGTTTTTACAACAATTCAAGTTTGAAAACTTGACTTATTTAAAACTTGATTTCTCTTAAGTTTTGGTTTTGTAAGTAACTTTATATTTTGTAAACTTAAGTTTATGAACTTAAGTTTGAACTTAAAGATAGTTAATAATAATAAACATATCTTTTTGCAGGTTCAACATCCAAGTATTGGCCGTCGTCTATTATTCTTAACATGTACTGCTGGTTGTTGTATATCTACTGCATTAATTGGAATCACTATAATTATCGCCGAGAAAGGCAATGTTGAAGCTAATATAACAACAACAGAAACTACTACAACTTTTACCACTACTATAGCTACAACAATTGCCTCTTCTAATGCTTCAGGAGGAAGTCTTGCTGCTTATCTCAGTATTGTCTTCATTGCGGTTTATGTCGTCTTCTTCTCTATTGGATTTGGTGAGAATTTTTTGAGGAGTTTTGAGGAAATTTTTAATTTTTTCCGCTTGCAGGAGCAATAACCGAAACATATTTGAGCGACCTTTTCCCTTCGGAGGCCCGCGCCGCTGGTTGTAGTGCCTCAACCTTGGCCTCTCTTCTATTCCGACTGGTTGTACTCTTTAGCTTTCCGATGCTTAAGGTGAATGATTTTTCAGGCCAAAATAAATTTTCTTTTCAGAAATTAATCGGCCCTTCTGTCTTCTTCACCTATTCTGCCTGCCAACTATTCTGTTCTATATTTGGATTCATTATTTTGCCGGAGACTAAAAATAAAGAACCTGAACGGATTTTGAGGGATATTAAAAGGAGAAGGATGAGTGTTACTTCTAGGTGTTGTTGTAAAATGTGAATTTGATTCTGTATATTCGGTGCTTTATTGTTATAATGTACAAAAACCATTGTTGTAAATTCACTATTAGTTATAATATTTCATTTCCAAATAAAATATTTTCCAAATTCAAAATATTGGTAATAGTCGGTTTCATACCCCCCCTCCCTCTCTTTTTTCATTCTCAAGGTATTCAAAAATCGAGCTGCATCGAATGACCACCCCAAAATCAACGTGATTTGAATGCCGGGTTTCGGGTATTGGGTTTTCGAAAACTCGGGGGTTTCGGGTCGAAAAAAGTGTCCGGGTTTCGGGTAACCCGTCCCATCACTGATGTACATAAAAATTAAATTTTTAAAATAGTCCCTTCGACAATTTACAAAAATTCCCTTTTTTGACCATTTTTAAATACAACACGCTGTAGAGGATGTTGTTCCAATGACGAGGGAAGTTGTCCCGTCAACGGGGGAAGTTGTCCCGGGAACGGGGGATGTTGATTCAGTGACGGGAATATTGTTCCGTCAACAGGGGAAGTTGTCCAACGACGGGGGAAAATTCCGGATCCCGAAATTCAAAAAAATCCGGCATTTCGGGATCGTAATCCCCGAAAATCCCGTCGGGATCCCGTCCCGCGCGGGTCTAATTACAATCAGAATATTTAAAAGATTGGCGACTATTCGGCCGGCGACTATATGGCCCGCGACTATTCGGGCGTGTCCCAACTAGTAAAGGTAAGGAGAGAAAAAAAAGTAAAGGAGAGAGAGTAAAGGAGAGAGAAGAAAAGTAGAGGAGAGAAGAAGAAAAAGAGAAAAGGAATGCAAGAATAAATGCAAGAATAATTAGTGTTCTCTATACCCTTTCTATTAACCATCTAAGAATTACTTATGCTCAAATCTTTTGTTTTTGGGAATTCTTCTACACTTCATCCATGGACCGCTTCGGCGGACTATCTATAGTAGCAGAAAGCTGGTTGGCTGCGCTTCGGTGACTGTGCGACCAGTGGACACTACTGATAGATAGACATTGGTGGCTGTGCGTTCTGGCAGCACTATTGGTGGCAGTGCGCTTCGGTGGCTCTGCCAATAGTGTTTGTGCGGAGGCAGTGCGCTGGTGACCATGAGAAAAAATTTTGGAGTGTCCATGTGCCGTTTTGTACATGGGACCGGCCCTTGCTTAGGGGTCATTTAATGATTAGAAATGTTGGTTTATATCATTGCAAAATATTCCCAGAGTCTATTATAGCAATCTATGGGCACAAAACACGAAAAAACAAAGCAACTCAAAATTAACCAATATTCAGTTGGAGTAACACATTCACATAAAAGTCCTGTGGTCCAAAATGTAGATGCGCCAAGCAAAAAACGATAAAGGAAAGAAAGGCAAGGATTATGGCGAAGGTCTTTCAAAGGACCAAAAACTATATTTAAAAATACTTCAAAGATTCCCTCCTTGTTTTTTTTTATTATTTTTGCTTAAAATTTATTTTTTTAAGTTTATAAGTGTTTATTAGTCAGGCAAGTCCTTAGAAGCAAAAACAAGTTTAATTTGCTTCCAATCACAATTTGTGTTTACAATTTGTAATTTAAAGAGTTTATAAGAAATTGTAAATTTTTATACAAAGCAAAAAACAAATTTATTTACAAACTTAAGTTTACAAACTTAAGTTTACAAAATACTCCATCTTCTACTTTTCTTTGTTTTACACAAATATTCTTTGCTTCCAACCCAATTTAATTCCAAAGTTTTTGTTTCATTAATGGAGCTTGTAAAATCTTCCCCAAATTTTCTTTTTTCCTTAGAATCGTAACATCCCATACAATCATACATGTAGCAACAAGAAATTATTATTAGAAGCAAGACCATTAGAACAGTAATTAGTCCAAAGTAGGTGAAAGCGAACATATAAACCTGCAAAAAAAGAATAAGGCTGATTGGAATTGAGAGGCTGAAGCTTTATCAGACAATCCCGAGCTTTGAGGAACGTGCTTCAACAACTTTGAGAAAGATTGTTTGAAAATGTTAGCATAGAAACTTGCTTCAGTAGAAGTCTTTGAAGCACGCCTTAGAAAACTGCTTCAGAAGCATAGAAACTTGAAGCATGCTTCATAAAAAGCTTCAGAAGCTTAAAGAAACTTAAAAAACTAAAAACTTGAAGCATGCTTCAGAAAAAGCTTCAGAAGCATAAACTTGAAGCATGCTTCAGAAAACTGCTTCAAAAGCATTCAGAAGCAATTTTTTAAAGTTTCAAGTTCCCAAATCTTCTTAGTCTTGCTTCAACTTTCAGTCAAAATTATTTGAAATAATCTACCTCTTCTCTAACCGAATACATTTCCATCCAACTCCAATGTCCCGTATTATAACGCATATTTGCTTCAGTTTCAGCTTTAGTTTCTTCAATTTCATAATTATTCAAAATTTTATTTTTATTTTCATCTTCTAAATTTAAATAAACTTTGTTTTCTTCTGTATTTGGTTGTTGAAGAATTGCAAATAAATTTTTATTTATTATTTTTTGGCTGTGGACTGTATGCCTTCTAGCCTGCAATTCTTTGTTTCGTTGGTGGTGCTGACGGAAAGTGTTCATTGACTGAACTAAAGGTGTTGATAGAAGGGTAGTTAATGAAGCGAAGAAGAGCCAGTCGGAATAATTGAATTGCATGATTTTTATTATTTTTATTTATTATTATTACTAAAATAAAAAATTTTAATGAGAAATTTGTTTAAAAAACTGTTTTTCGAATTTTGTTTTTTAAAAGAAAAATACGCCTGATTCAAGTTTGCTGATAAAGCTTAATTCAAGTTTGTAATATAATCAAGTTTATTTATTACTCAATTTAACTAAGTTTCACAAAATTACAAACTTAAACCTTCAAGTTTATTTATTTTACAAACTTAAAAACTTGAGGAAATTAAAACCTGAAAATAATCAGGTTTATTTTTATACACTTGAAAACTTAAAAACAATTCAAGTTTATTTATTTTACAAACTTAAAAATAATTCAGGTTTATTTTTACAAACTTGAAACTTAAATAAATTAAACTTGAAACAAGCAGGTTTATTTTTATACACTTGAAAACTTAAAAATAATTCAAGTTTATTTTTACAAACTTAAAAACTTTAAAAAATTTAAAAATATCTAAATAAATTTAAATAATAATTAGAGATATTAAAAACTCTTGAATTTTAAAGAAATAAATTAAAATGAATATTGTCAAAGGAGTAAATTGAAAAATTGCCCCAGTGACGCTATATTACGGAAAATCGGCTTTTCGTGTATTTATTTGATCAAAATTCCCGTAGATGTGAGAAAATCTGAGAAAAAGCTTCTTATTTACTTTTATGTATTTAATACTCTTTTGCTTTATATGCTTTAAATAATGGCAAAATCGTTGAAGAATGTTGACTATTAGTGATTTTAAGGGAACGGAAGGATCAAAATTAAAATCGTCATTTTAATAATTTTAAAAGCATATTTACAATTATGCTTTTTAAGGGTTTTAATTAATATTGTTGAAAGCTAATTTAGTTGTTTAAGAAGCTTGCTTCATCTTTTCTTGCTTCATGAAATTTTTTTCTTGCTTCAAAAAACTTGAAGCAAATTTTATTTTTTTCGTAAAGCAAATATCAGAAGCAAGTTTCAAATTTTCTTGAAGCAAGTTTAAGGAAACATGTTTCTTGAAGCAAGTTTCAAGAAACAAGTTTCTTGAAGCAAGTTTCCGGAAGCAATTTTCAAAAGCGAATTTATGAAGCAAGCTTCAGGAAACATGTTTCTTGAAGCAACTCCCCATGAAGCAAATTTCAAGAAGCATGCTTCAAAGGATTTTTTTAAATAAAATAATTTTTCCAAATGGTCAGCTCCTCAAAAATAATATTTATTTAAATAAATAAAATCTTGGCAAAGCTAAGCAACTAAAGGCCATAAAAAGGCGTTCTAAAGGAAAATAGTCGTAAGCAAAGGACGTAAGCAATAAAAGTGTTTAAATTGTTGGGAATTAGTTTAAATTTCTACGTAATAACGGCTCTTCTTTTTTCATAAATTCTTCCTTATTTTTAAATTTAGTACATTAATAGATAATATAAGACTAAATTTAGAAATGAATTTAAAGAACCATTTGGCAATGTTTTTGTTCTTTTAAGAAAGTCAGCTTTATTTTAAATATATTTAACGTCAATGCTGATGCAACAATGGAGGATAATTTATTTTAGAAAATCAGAATTTGTGATTTTTTAATAAAAGGTTTGCAACGTTTAAAACCAGAATTTGTAATTACAAAGGGAAAATTCGCAATTCTTAAGACTAGAATTTGTAATTTATTTACAATTATTAAAATCAGAATTTCAGAATATTTAATTGTAGAAAATCAGAATTTGTAATTACAATTTTTAATTAAAATCAGAATTTTTATAAACCCAGAATTTGTAATTTATTTACAATTAAAAAATCAGAATTCCTAACAACAATTTTTAATTAAAAATCAGAATTTTTAATTAAAATCAGAGTTTTTTATAAACCAGAATTTGTAATTTATTTTATAATTTAAAAAATTAGAATTTGTAAATTTAATTTAGTTGTTCACTACCCATAAAATCAGAATTTGTATTTTTTAAGAAAAGGTTCGCAATCTTATAATTCAGAATTTATAATTAATTCATAATTATTAAAATCAGAATTTCAGAATAATTATTTAAAATTCTCTTGAAAATCCGATTTTCTTGTTTTTATAGAATTTATGTGGGAGAGATATAATACATAAAATTAATAGGAAAATTAACACTATTACATAGTAGACTGTTTATGTATAAAATATTAAAATTCCAGAAAATTAATGAGTGAGCGATAAGCAGATTATAAATATAAAGGTGGATTTATTACTGTAGAGAGATTAAATTTGCAGAAAATCAGAATTTTAAAGGAAATCGAAAATATCAGAATTCTGAATTTTTAGAATCAGAATTAATAAAATCAGAATTTCTTAAAATCAGAATTTCTTAAAATCAGAATTTCCTTAAAAATCAGAATCTCTAAAATCAAAATTAATAAAATCAGAATTTCTAAAATCAGAATTTTTAAAACCAGAATTTCTTTAAAAATCAGAATTTTTATAATCAGAATTTTTTATACCAGAATTTCTTTAAAAATCAGAATTTCTAAAATCAGAATTTCTTAAAAACCAGAATTTTACAAATCAGAATTTCTTCATCTCACAATAATACCCAAAGCTTATTATTACTAAAATCAGAAGATTATACGTAATAAAAACAGAATTTTAAAAATAATCATTAAAAATAACATCACTTTAACACCAATCGCCTTAACTGCTTACAACCGGATCAGAAGAAGGTTAAATATATTTTTTTCTCTTTTTCTCTAAATTTATTATTTAACTAGTATTATTCACAGCATTTTCTGAATAAGCTCAACAACGTCCATTTTTATATTCCACGCATTAAAAATAAACGTTGGTTGAGTTGCGATTGATGGGTAAATTTCGTGTTTTACGCGCAGCTGTGAGAGTAAAAATAGGGGGAAAATAGAGGGGAAGGATTGTGAAAAGCCATTTATTTTATTTTATTTTTAAGCCTGCCTATGAACTAAGAAGCGTTCTATTTTTTTAATTTTTATTTTCCAAATTTTTCCCAAATTTTCTGATTTTTAAATAATTTTAAGGGCTAAAAAATTTTTTAAATGAATTTAAATTCTGTCTTTTATTTTTTATTTTTGTTGATTTTGCCTATAATACCTAGTAATGCCCAATTATTTTATATCCCAAACACACAGGCTTTTGCTTGGCAACAATTTGAGGGTCAAAAGCAACAGAGAAATGATGGTATTTGTAAATTCTGATTTTTCAAAAAAATTCTGATTTTTTTAATTCTGATTTTTCAAAAAAAATTCTGATTTTTCAGAGAATTCTGATTTTTTAAATTCTGATTTTAAATTGCAGGAAAATCAGAGGATTCAACAACTTTACGTTTAATTGACGAACTTCTCGGGATTTTTGCTCCCCCACGTTCTTATGTCAATACGGAAAGAAATAATGATTTAATAACTAATGAATATTCAAATGATCATTTAATGCCTAGGATGGCGCGCAGTGAAGATTATAAAACTGAAAGGATTGAATTGGATGTTGGTAAAGGAGGGGAATTTTAAGGAAGCTTTGGAAGTCCTTAGGGGACTTGGGGGTCTTTGGGAGGACTTATCCATTAGGTGAGTCTTTGGGAAGTCTTTTGGGATTTGGTGGAGTCTTAGATAGTCTTTGAGGTGGTTGTAGATGATTAAGAGGTCCTTGGGGGTACGGGAAGTCTTTGGGAGGTCCTTAGGGGATTTAGTGAAGTCTTAGATAGTCTTTGATGTGGTTGTAGATGATTAGGAGGTCCTTGGGGTATGGCAAGTCTTTGGAAGGTCTTTGAGTGGTTGGGGAGTCTAAGGGAGGAAACAAAGATTAAAATTATTTAATAAATTTAAAGTCACCAACTAACAACAACAATAATGACAATAACGAACCTTGGGCTCATTTGGCTCGAGGAGTGATTGATCTGTTCAAGTCAATCGAAACTACAACACCTACCACAACCACCACAACTACTACACAATTATCACTTCTCGAGAGGGTAAGAATTAAGGGAAAATTTCAAAAAAAATTCATTATTACTCAGATGTTACCAAAAATATTTAACCCCTTTGGAGGGGAAACTACAACAATGACAACGACACCAAGCAGTACTTTTCCCCCTCTTTTTCCTTTCTTCGCGAGGACAACCACAACGTAAATTAACCTTCAAAATAATCTTTCCACAAAATTTATTTTTAAGTGCCCAGCCTTCGCTTTTTTCTTTTTTACGTAGAGAGCAGCCTAAGAGGGGGGCAGAGAATGAATTATTAATGCGCCCAAATGAGCTTTTGGTGGAACAAGTTGGGAGGCTTTTTGGGGTATTTTAATAATGTTTATCCAATCATTAATCATAATTATGTAGAGATAGAATGAGTAGAGATCTCAGTGAAGAACAGAAATCTCAGTGAGAAAACCGGGAGAGAGAATTTCAAGGATTACGGAGCTTGATGGATCCTTAAGGCCTTGTGACTCGAGTCCTAAGACTTGACTTAGCATTTGACTAGACACAGGACCGGGATATCCGTGAAAATCTCCCAATCCATTTCCCCGTACCCTTGAGCAATTTAATGTTTATTAAAAAATCGTTTAAAAAAGGTTGAACGAAAAGCAGTAGAAGAGGGTCGCGCACAGATAGACACAGGCGGTCCGAATTTTGATCGTTTTGTTGTAAGGCAAAAATCAGCATCTGATAACCCCTTTGCTTCTATTGTTGGTGGATCCAAATGGAATGAACGGGGGATTAAATGGGAGGATGGGAATATTCGTTTGGTGGACAAGAATGGGAATAGTCTGCTTGGGACTGAAGTTGGGGTTAATGACAGATCTGTTGATATTCCGTTGAAAAGATGGTAGGGGCAGAAAATTATTTGGACTTCATTTTGATTTTTAGGCTTGAAATAGCCAATGGAATAGTCAACATGCAACAAACTCAACGAGATTATGTAACCAAAAAATAATTAATTAAGCAGAAAATAATTAAATTTTTATTTTTAAATATCTCAGGAATATATTATAATTATACCATAAATATATTCTTATATTTAAAATTTTTTTTCATATTTTAAATTCAAAAAGGCAAGCATTATATCAGTGACCTTCACTTTCTTTAAAAATACTTCGCGTAGATTTTTGAAGATTATCCTTGAATGGGTTGAGGGATAGGTTGCAAAATGCCTTGACCTTGAGGGAAAGATGGGAGAATGCCTTGGCCTTGAGGATATTGGGGTATTTGAGGAAATCCAAGCTGCGGACCATAAACTTGAGGCCCGCCATAGGGGTTGTTGAGATAAGGCTGAAATATTATTTAAGAATAATAATATAAAACTTTCCGGAAAACACATTATATAGTTTCCGGAAAGACATATAAATACAAAGGTATATAAGGCTTTCCGGAAGAATATAAAATTATATAAAACTTTCCGGAAAAACAGTAACATACAAATATTTCCAGAAAATAAATTAAAAAATCTTTCCGGAAAACACAAAAAAAAACACAAAAAAAAATACAAAAAGAAAATTGCTTTCCGGAAAAATACATAAAAATGTCTACGTATAAAATAAGTCTTTCCGGAAGAATAATTCCTTCCGGAAAACACATTATATGTATGCTTTTCGGAAAGACATAAAAATATATAAGGTTTTCCGGAAGAATATAAAATTATATAAAACTTCCGGAAAACACAGAAAAACACAAAAAGAAAATTGTTTTCCGGAGAAATATATATGTCTATAGAATAAGGCTTTCCGGAAAAATAATTCCTTCCGGAAAACACATTATATAGTTTCCGGAAAGACGGTAATATATTTATTTATTTCCTTGCCTGTATAGCCGGATATTGAGCAATCATAGGGCTGTTGGCAAGCGCATATCTTTGATCTGGCGTTAACATACCAATAATTAGAGGGATATATTGCGGATACTGATTAGCAAGACTTCCATATAATGGAAGTAATTGAACTATTTGGTGTGGAGGCATACTTAAATTTCAAAAAAATATTAAAAAAATATTAAAGACGTTTGAATCATTCGCGGCAAATCTGGATTTTGCAGGATAGAAGGGTTAAATGGTAAACCTCCTAGGCCAGTATAACCTCCAAGGCCAGTACAAGACTAAAATAGAAAAATATTTGGAAATACAGGCGTCTATGCAAAATTCTGAGTTTTCAAGCAAAATTCTGAGTTTATTACAATTCAGGATCGATTTTAAACCTTCAAGAAATTATTCTACAATTCCGGAAAAAATGTTTAAAATTAAAACGAATCCGGAAAAGTTCTTTAGACCTAGAAAAAATTCTCGTAACTTTCCGGAAGGATTGTAAACAATTCCGTAATTTCTTAAACCTTTCCGGAAAAATTTTAAAATTAAACCAGAAGCCCTTCCGAAATTATTTAACAGTTCCGGAGAAAATGTTAAAGTTAATGAAAAAATTAAAACGAATCCGGAAGGGTTTTTAAGCCTAGAAAAAATTTTCTTAACCTTAAGGAAGAGTTGTAAGTAATTCCGGAAGGCTTTCAAAATTATTTTACAATTCCGGAAAAATTCTATTTTACAATTCTAAAAAATTCAGTAAAATTCAGTTATACCCAAATCTCCATAATATTAATACACAACACAAACAAGGCAAAAATTATTTTAAAAATTTTTGAATTAACCATTATTCAGTTTAAGAAATTTTATTTTGATTTAATTTAAAATTAGTTGTAATTTTTCAAATAATGCTCAAATAAAAATAATTTCCAACCCATTTTATACGGCCTAAATATAAAAAATTTGGGTCTGAAGCTTTGTTTAAAATTCAAAAAAAATTTTTTTGTATTGTCCTCTTTAAGAAATCTCAAAAAAAAACAAAAAATAATTTATTTTTTATTAAAAGAAAAAATGTAACAATACTTTAAAAATGAATCATCGTAAATTTCTTTAGAAATTTAAAAAGTAAAAATAAAATTAAATTTATTTTTACTTTTTTTTCCTGTTAAATTTCATAATTCTTGTAATTTAAGTATTATTATGAAATTAAAAAATTATTTCAAAAGCTTAGAATAAATTGGAGAGAAATTATTCTTTCCTGGATTTTTAAAAAATATTCCGGAAAAATTTTATATATGAATGTCTATATAAATTCAGGAAAAATTATAGAAAATTCCGGAAGGATAGAAAAAAATTCCGGAAAAATATAATTGATTCCGGAAAAATTATAAAAAATTCCGGAAGAATTGTAAACCTTTCCGGAATTGTTTTACAATTTCCAGAAATAATTATTTTATACATAATTCCGGAAAGATACCAGAATTATTATTTTATTTTACAATTCCGGAAAGACTGCAAAAGAAATTCAAAGAGCATTCCGGAAACATTTAATACTATATAAATAATTTTCCGGAAATATAATTTTATTTTACAATTCTGAAAAGATTGAAAACACAATTCCGGAAAAATATAATCAATTCAGGAAAAAATTATATACATTTCCGGAATTATTTTATAGTTATACATTTTCCGGAAATATTTTATTTTAAAATTCCGGAAGAATATAAACCTTTCCGGAAAAATTGTAAACATTTCCGGAATTATTTTTACATTTCCGGAAATATTTTATATGTATGCATTAAATTTTCCGGAAACTAATCAGAATCTAGACAAATAAACAAACTAGGCAATATTCAATAAAAGTAGGAAGTGTTTTATAAAATCAAAAAAAACTTTAAAAAAATTAATTAAGTAGCTAAACAATAAATTAAATTAATTTCAAAAATTAAACAAATAAAAATTCAAAAATTTGTTTTGCCTTTCTCATCATCAAAAATTTTTTAAAAATTAATTTTCACCTCCCTTTATTCTTCCAAAAATATTTGTATTTTATTTTTTCGATCAGTCTTCTTTTCTTTCATTTTTTCAATAAATTTAATATTAGCAATACATTCTTGTTGATCCATTTGTTTAGTTAATGTAGAAAATGAATTGGTTAAAGCACTGAACATGTCTACCTATACAAAGAATTTTTTAATTTAGAAGAATCTCAGAATTAAATAAATAAGGACAAGGGACTTGAGGAAACGATAGGAATTCTCGAGAGAGAAAAATCTATAGAAAAATCCAAATGTCATTCAAAAATTAAAATTTTGGGCCAAACAAATTTTTAATAAGCTACCGAATTTTCTCGATTAATTCCATTGGGGAATTATTTTTTCAAACCTTCCTTGGCATGGGGAATTAATCGAGGAAGGGGAATTATTCGAGGAAGGGTTTTTATTCGAGTTTTGGCATTGGAACGTGCAGTAGGGTATTTGGGGGTGGGGAATGAATTATTGTTTCGACCCAACTCTAGCATGGGGAATTATTTGAGGGAGGGGAATTAATCAAGAAAATACGATATATTTTGTCTAGTTAGTATAACCCTATAGCTTCTGATTTCGTTCTGTCCCCCCAAAACAGCCACAGCCTCAGATTCCCTTTCATCAACCAGTATCCCCTGAAATGAAGGCTGAGGTGTGACACAGCATTACCCAAAAACCCAAAAAGAGGAAAGAAAACTCACAATATTTCTCATATTAATTGGAGCAATATTAAAATAATCTGATTGAATATTTTGCCAAGTTCTTCCCCTATCCCCACCTATACGCATTTCATCTAATTGATCATGTAAATCTTCACGTTCCAAAGAAAATAAATTTGCAGCTAATTGAGGTAAATAACAATTGGAATATTTTACAATAACCCCCCATTCTTGATTTCCACATTGGCCACATAACCATTTGGCACATTTTGTGAATAAATGGTCTTTCTGAAAAGAGAATTTATATTGGAGGGAGAAAATTAAGAGGGATTTTATCAGTCAGAAATCCTTCAGGAAAAAAATTTTTTTTAAGTCCGAAAAAAAATTTTTGTCCCTCACCGTCGGCTTTTCCCGAACGTCAATTTTTGAACGTTTCCAAACAGTAGGATCACAAACGACAAAAGTAGAATTAGCAATAGAACGGATATGTGTACTCTTACAAATCAAATTATTACAAGAACGGCAGCTTAGTTTATAACTAAAATTTTAAAAAAATGTTTAAAAAAGTAAAAATTTTTACCGTCTATTATTAAGTTTTAAACGTTTAACTTCCAAAACTTTAAGTTGTCTTTCCTCAATCCTCCTTCGTTCTTCACGTTTTGCATTAATTTGATTTTTAAGATTAGTTTCACTAGTTTCTTGTAAATTTATTAGGCAACGCATCATCTGTTTTTAATTTAAAAAATTATACGGATATTTTATACAAATAGGATTTGGGAAGGGAATAACCAATGATATCTCAATTTAAGATCCGTTTTTTAAAGTGTGGTTATTCTCCAGACGTGGGGAGGAGGAGCAGTTTAAGCGATACACTCCAAGTCTACGTATTTTTAAATTTGGCTGTTTCCAGAGTGGGGGAGGAGGAGTCTAGGATCTAGTCTAATTTAAGTCCCAATGAAGACAAATCTCATTAGAAGCTATATTTCAAGGGGTGTATCTTATAAACCAGTTACTCTAAAACTAAACAAAAAAATCAGACCATAGCCTCTTTTTGCATATTCAAATATTCAGCCTGTTCAACTCCCGTATCCAAAGCTAACAAAATTGATAAACTATTCTTTTGTCTAGCACGCCCTCTTCTTTGAATCATTGAACGTTCAGACCCAACATTATTATATTTTATAATTAAATTACAAGCAGCAATATTAACACCTTCTTCAGCAACTGATGTTACTACCAAAACTTTTACTTTTCCAGAATCAAAATCTCTAATCATTTGTTGTTGTTCTTGTGTAGATTGTCCACCAGCTGATAAACTTTGATTTGAACTAACCATATAACCAACATTCTATTTTTTGGAAAAAATTTTTTAATGATATTAAGATGTTAGATATAGAATAAGACAAATACTCAAAAATCCCTCGATAACTTGACCCATATCCGAACCAGAAAAAGTTCGGATATCAGGACATTCTTCGGATACAAACATACGAATCAAAAGCCATGGTTGTCGGAAATTATGTTTTCGATTTTTAAGGGTATTATGTACATATTTATAGGGCTGTTGGTCCGGAATCGAACCGAAAATTAAAAAACTGAAGATTTTTTGGTTGGATTCTCCGAGTCAGTTTTGGATATCCAAAGATTTAACAAGAACCGACTACCCTCTTCATTCATACGAAAAAATTATATAATGAATTTATTTCTCTTTTTCCTTCTCAACCTTAACCTTCCCTCCATTATTTTTTTACAACCCATTAAATATTTTGAAAAATATTTCCCTTCTTGTATTTATAAATTGTAAAACCAAAATAATTTTGGGGCGATTCTAAAAAGCTGCCGTTTCCCGTTGGGGATGGAAGTAAAGGATTCTGACCCGCATCCTTTCTTCCCGAAGAGTACTTTTAATTGTTTCTATTGTTTCTTGGACCGGAAACCATTTAATAGTTGGGACCAGTCCCTGAATATTAGTTTCAATGGTCTCGCCCAACGGTTGTATTCGGTTGGAGGCTTTTGTTTCGCTCCAAAAATTTTTTTGAACATTTTTATGGCCAAAAAATTCCTTTAAAAATTTTTTCCAGGTCCAAGAAATTTTTTTTGCAAAAAAAAATTTTCACCTCTTTATTATAAAAAATTGGTAGTTCTGGCACTTTTTTAAGATGATCAGCAAGTTTAGAAGCACAATTTCTTGTAGCAACAAAAATTAAACAACGAGAATTTGGATCAGATTTAAATTGTTTTTTAAGAATCTTTTTTAAATTAATTAGTTATTTTTTTTTTAAATTTTTTAAAAACTAACAAGATGTAATTCTTTAAGAATTTCTTTATTTTGAAGTTTTTCGTTTCTAACACATTCGATTAATTTCTTTTGTAAATCTTGAAAAAAAATTTTTTTTTGTTTAAAAAATTTTTTTGAGAGTTTGAAAATTTTAAAAAATTTTCAAAAAATTTTTTTTTGAAATTAAAAAAAAATTCCAAAAATTTTTCAGAAAATTTTTTAAAAATTTTCAAAAAAATTTTCTTGAAATTTCAAAAAAAAAATCCAAAAATTTTAAAAAATTAAAAAAAAATTAATTAAAAAAAATTCCACCTTGATAATAACCAAGTAATCTTTGATTAATTACATCAATATGGCTAGAACCACCAGAATTCTGTTTATAATCACTCATTTTTTCTTGTAAATAATAAAAAGCATATGAACTTGGTAATAAATCATTAATTAAAATTGAGTGGAAATAATGCTGAAAAATTTGGGAAATATTAAATTAAAATTTCGGAAGAGTAATATAAATAGTTCCGGAAAAAATATATAAAAGGTTTCCGGAATTATTTCGATTAAAATGATTTTAATATATTTCCGGAAAATACATTTCAGAAGAGAAAAATACATTCCGGAATATATTTCCGGAATTTTCAATAAAATCCGGAAAAGAAATATAAATATTTATAAAAATATATGAAAAATTCCGGAAAACACAACAAATTCCGGAAGGAATATAAACAAAACTTTTGAGAAGAATACACATTCCGGAAAAGAAATTCCGGAAGTCTCTATAAAGTAAAAATTCCTCAAAACTCACAGACAAATGATCAATTGATCTAACCAACAAAAATCTCATTTCAGAATCCTGAACTCGTTGAGCAGACTTTTTAAGAGTTCCAACAACTGTTTGATAACGAGAATTATTTGAATGAAGGGGAAATTCAATTTCTTCCTTTAATTAAAAAAAATTTCAAAATTAATTTTTAAAAATAACTTTTTTCAATTTACACATTTCTGCCAATTTTGGCAAGTGTGGCTTCATTTCATTTTCAATTTTATACATTACTCGTTCAACATAATCAAGGAAAGGATCATTCGCAGGGCGTTTAACACGTGTTACAACTGAAAAAAAATAAAAAAAATTTTAGAAAAATTTTTTCCTGAAGAAATACTTCCGGAAAATTTGTCAATTTTTTTTCAAAAAATTTCAAAATTTTTCAAAAATTATTTTTCGACCTTACCATCAACCGGAGGCATAACATGACTTTTTAAATTATCCAATTGATGCCTAACTGTACTAATTGTTTCAGAATGTAAATTTGAACATAAATTAAGCATGTGTTGATAACAAGCATTAATATCCAAACTTGTATCGCCTACACCCATTGAAGCTGTTAGGCCTACAATTTGTGGTTTTTCTTTTATTTTGCTTTTTTCGAGCATTTCCATAAGTACTGAAAAAAATAAAGAATAAATAAATATTTTCCGGAAAACACAAATAGAAAAAATAAGTATTTCCGGAAATAATATAAAACAATTTTCTGGAAACTAAAATTTAAAAGAATATATTTTCCGGAAATAAAATATAACTTTCCGGAAACTGAATATAAATTTTTCCGGTAATTTGTAACGAATATATTTCCGGAATGAAAATACTTCTAAAAATAAAAGCACAAATTTTCCGGAAAAATACAAATAGAGAAATAAATATATTTTCCGGAAAACACAAATATATATAAATTTCCGGAATTGTAATACAAAACACTTCAGAAAAAACACAATCAAACTTTCCGGAAAATACAAAATAAATACTTTTAAAAATACATAAAATACCAACTTTTGTATGGGTGTAGTTTTGTCTAAAAATACAAAGAATAATTAGTAAATTGTAAATTATTTTAAAATTTACCGCATGGTGGCATTCATCAAAAATCATTAAAGTAAAATCAGCAAAATAGACACGTTCAGAACGTAAAATGCTTTCTAACATATTTCTAAAAAATAATTAAATTTTTTAATTAAAATTTCAAAAAAATTCCGAAAAAAATTTTCCGGAAAAAAAATTTTTTGAAATTTTCCGGAAAAAAAAATTTCAAAAATTTTCCGGAAAAAAAATTTCAAAAATACTCCGGAAAAAAAATTTCAAAAATTTTCCGGAAAAAAAATTTCAAAAATTTTCCGGAAAAAAAATTTCAAAAATTTTCCGGAAAAAAAATTTCAAAAATTTTCCGGAAAAAAATTTCAAAAATTTTCCGGAAAAAAAATTTCAAAAATTTTCCGGAAAAAAAATTTCAAAAATTTTCCGGAAAAAAAATTTCAAAAATTTTTCCGGAAAAAAAATTTCAAAAAATTTTCCGGAAAAAAAATTTTCAAAAATTTTCCGGAAAAAAAATTTCAAAAAATTTTACGGAAAAAATTTTCAAAAAATCTTTCCCAAAAATTTTTTTTAATTAAAAAAAAAATCAAACATTAATATTTGAGGTGTCATAACAACAATGTCTGCAGCCAACAAACGATCAGCCCTTCCTTCAGGAATATTTTCACAACCACTAAAGCCATCAACCCAGTAGGCTATATTTGGACGATAATTGTCTTTGTAATCCATAAGAAATTGGACAAAATGAAGAGCCTGTTGATCAACTAGAGGGACTGTTGGGACGAGCATTACACACTTTTTGGGGAAGGGAAGAAAATTAATTTAAATAAAAAAATTTGTTATTTGAAAATTTTGAAAATTTTTGAAAAAATTTTTTCGAAAAAAATTTTCAGAAAAAAAATTTTTGAAAAAATTTTCGAAAAATTTCCTGAAATTTTCAAAAAAAATTTTAAACCAAAAAAATTTTTCGAGAAATTTTTTTTAAAAAAAATTTCAGAAAAAAAATTTTTTCAGAAAAATTTTAAAAAATTTCAAAAAAAAAAATTTTTTTTAATCAAAAAAAACTTACTCTTCCAATTTTCCCATCTCTATGTCTATTAGACAAATGATTTTTAATTATATCAACAGCTACCAAAGTTTTTCCACTTCCTGTTGGGGCACATATAATTGTATTTCTTCCACTAAAAATTTTTTTAATAATTTTTTTTTTAAATTACAAATTATACTTATTTGCATGCAAAACCAATTCGTTTTGATATGGACGTAAATCGTATTGTTCAGGTTCATAGGATTCAATACTTGCTAAAAAAATTTTTTTGGAAAATTTATTTGAAAAAAAAATTTTTTCGAGGCCCTAAATCGGTCATAAAAATTAAAAATCTTTTTAAAGAATAAATGGGACAAACTGTCCTATAAAGCAAAAATTTCTGAAAAAATTAATTTAAAAATTTTTTGCTTAAGATAAAAATCTTTTAGCTTAAGAAAAAATTTTTAGAAAAATTTTTAAAATTTCGGCTCCAATAAAAAAAATTTTCTAAAAATCCAAAAAATTTTTCAGAAAGAAAATTAACAATCCCTAGCCTCAGAAAGAATTTTTAGAAGAATTTTCAAAAAAAAATCAAAAACCAAAAAAAATTTCCAGAAAAAAAAATAAAAATCCCTAGCCTCAGAAAAATTTTTAAAAAAAATCAAAAATATTTTTAAAAAATAAAAAAAACTTACAACTTCTATTATTTAAATAATTAATTTGATTTCTAGGTTCAGTAATTTCCTCCTCATCTCCAATTAAATATTCAAGCAATTCTGGTTTCATAATACCTGCCGCTACCATTTTCTTTGCTTTCCATTTATCTGAAAAAATTATAAAAAAATTTTTAGTAGATAAAAATTTTTAAATTAATTTTAAAAAACCACCCAAAAAACAAAAATAAAATTGAGCAAAGATACCCCTATCCAAAAGCCGAAAAAAATTCTGAAAAAATGAGTCATGTAAAGACACCAAATTTTTTTGAATTATCAAAATTCTATGAAAAAAATATTCTTAACTCGAGAGGTAATTTACAAAAAAATAATGGACGAAAAAAATTATTGACTAAAAATCATTCAAAAATTCATCAAAAATCTCCTCAACGGAACCAGGAAAAAAATTTTTCTTCAAAATAAAAATTCAAATCTGGATCACAGAATGAAAAAAAAAGAAACAAAAATTTCAACTCTAAAAAAATTAAAAAAAACCTAAAGAATCAGCATAATTTGGATCAATCAAACGTGCAAAAAATCGGCAGTCTCCATGACTTAACAAAGCTTCAATAAATTCGTAATACCAATCCTTTAGAGAGAAAAATGTTTAAAAAATTAAATATAAAACGATACCCCAAATTCTAGCGTTGAATTTTCAATATCAGAACAATGGGCCAATCCACGAATGAACAGACAGGCAGCAGCTTCGATTTCTTAAAAAAAAAGAAAATTTTAAAAACTAATTGAAAATATTCCAAGCAAACGAAAATGGGTTGGGTTATTCTAGCAGAAAAGGGATGATCATGGGATGGATAGGAATGGGAAGAATTAATCGACATGGACGGTCACCCCTTTTTCCAACCCGAAAAAGATTTTAAACCTCTTCCACTGCAAACTTCTCAAAATACAAGCAAAGATAGGGGATATTCACGATCGGTTTAAAACCCGAAAATTTTAAAAAACGAGTTTTTTAAATCCCCACAAAATAAAATTGTATTTAAAAATCAAAGCAATTTTTGAACAACCGAAAAATAAAAAAAAACTGAAAACCAAGGGGTTTTTAAAATTCTGTTTAACCGAACCAAGAGGGACTGGGTCATAAGGGCGCGGGGCCATTAGGGCGCGAGCTTATAAAACAGTGAGTTGCTTATCAAAAAAGATAAAATTTTGCAATAATAACTCTCATGCCTTTATCTACGTTCTCCAAAAATTTCAGAATTTTTGATCAAGAATTTCGGAAATTGTGGCCAAAAATGTTGATTTTCCGAAAAAACCCTAATTTTTCGCGGTTTATCGACTATAACTTCAGAAATATTCGATGAAAAATTTTGAAATTTCTGGAGGAGGTAGTCTAGGATGTTAAAGAAATTTGAGAGAATTTTCATAAATTTCGGTTTCGCCTAAGTGTCAGTTTCAAGTGCTGGCGCCCTAATGGCCCCGCGCCCTTATGACCCCAACCCAACCAAGAGGATATCGGGTAATAATATTTAATGAATAAAATACTGAAAAAATAAATCAACAAAAAAATATTTTTATAAAAACCTCTCTTCGCCTGATTTTGAGCAACATAAATCATTTCAATTCTTCTCAACAAATCCTCATATTCACTCATCCCTTTATTTTTAAACCATTCAAAAATATGTCTTGGTTCCAGTACTGCACGTATTCTGTCCACTTTAAAAGGGTCGTCGCCGGAATAAAGTTGAGAATAAAATTGGGTAGAAGTTAAGTTGTTTAAGTGAAGCTCAGCAAAAGATTGAGGGTCGTCTTAAAAATTTAAACTTTTATTTTTAAAAAATTCTAAAATTATTTTTGCGGACAAAACTTGCGGACTTTTCAAATATCAGTAATTTTAGAAATTTTTGGGTGAGGGAAAACTCCGCAAGTATTGTCACAAAAAATAATTATTTCAACATAAATCCTATCAAGAAAATTTTTTTGGTAATATTAAACCTGACAGACCCCATTTTCCTCCCCAACTTCTTCCTATATATCTACAGATTCAAAATACTTAATTTTTATCTATCCTCGATTGAAGAAAAGAAAATTGGAATGAAAGAAGGGAACAAGTCTGACCAATCTGCAAATATATAGGAAGAAACTTGGGGAGGAAAGGATGGGGGGTCTGTCAGTTCAAATTTAGTTTCTGCTAATTCAGAAAATAAACAAGTAGGTTTTGATTGAAAAAAAAATTTTTCCAAAAAATTTTTGCGGACATTAAATTTAAATTTGCGGACAAAAAATAAATAGAAAATTAAATTAAAAAATTTATGAAATAAAACCTTCTTTACAACGAGAAATAATCGAAAGCAGCCAAGGAAGAGCATCAGGGTCATTTGAATGCGAAATATATTTAAACAGGTCAGACTTCACAATAGCCAAAGCCTCTGTATTTGCACGGTCCAATTCTTTTCCAATAGACAAGGCTTTGTCTCTTTCAAAATCTAACCATTTATGGACTTCTTGAATTCTATCACCTTTAAATTAATTGTAAAAAGGAAGGGGAAGTGAAAAGTCCGCAAATTTTGTCCGCAAAAATATTAAAATTTGCGGACATTTGAGTGGACGCAGTGAATAACAAGAAAAAATCTTGGAAAAATATCGAGAGAACCCTCAAGAGAATGTTTAGATCATAACAGAACAAATAAAAAATCATTCCAAGTCCCCAGGCCCGTAGCCAGGGAAGGGTAGGCGGGGGAATTCCCCCCCCCCCCGAAATGGGGAAAAGGGAAAAATTAGGCGAAGGGCTGGGGCAAAAAAAGTGAATTTTTTTGGCCTACGGGCTTCAAAATTTTCGCCTGCGGCGCTGAAAATAAAAATTTTTCCCCCCTTGGCCCCCCCCCCCGAAAAAAAATCCTGGCTACGGGCCTGCAAGTCCCCCTTATTTGCCCTATTTTCCCTTTGGAATTGCTTCAAAATTAATAATTCCTTAATTAAACCCCTTATTATAAAAAAAATAATCAAAAAAATACCAGCAAAACGTTTAACCAAAAGACTTGTATCATTCCCCACATATTTAACAAATTCATAAACAAACAGCCTAATATGTGATTTTACATTAATTCCATTTTTTGCCAAATCGGTCATCCAAAGTTGCAAAAGTTGGGTTTCCGTAGCTGTTGGAACTGTTGTCGTTATATTGGGGAATTTGGCTGGAAAATAAACAATTTTTAGAAATAAAAGAATTTTTAAAAAAATAACCTTTAATTTTCATTTGAATCATTTCCCCTCCAAGTTGAGAAAAAAAATAAAATTTAAAAAATTAATTACTTTACTGAAAATAAGCTTGGAATGACCAATAAAAAATTAAACTTGGTCAAAATACTAAGAAATTAAAATAAAAAATTACAATTGTAAAAATAAAGTTGGTAAATTGTAAAAAAAGTTTTAGGGATTGTAAAAATAAGGTTTTATTAAAATTACAAAGAAAAGGTTGGTAAAGTTGTAAAAAGTTTGTAAAAAAAAATAAAGTTGTATTAAATTGTAAAGAAAAAGTTGGTATTGTAAAATAATCTGATAAGGTTGCAAAAAAGTTTGAAAACTTGAAAAAGTTTTAAAGTTTTAGGATTGTAAAACGCCTATACGCTAAAACGGCGGCGATGAAAGGAAGTGAGAAAAAAATTTTTTCAAAATGTAAACAAGTGAAAAAATGTCAGAATGTAAACTTGTATAAATTCGTTGAGAAGGGACAAGCCCACTTTGTCGCGCGGCCACATTGTCGCAGAGCCATAACTTGCTAAAAAATTTCTGGCCCTTATCAATTTTGGTACCAATCTATTTAGCTCGATGAGAGGAATCGTTTAATACTAAAGTTGGTAAGATTCGGAAAACTTGAAGGAAGTTATGGCTCTGCGACAATGTGGCCGCGCGACAAAGTGGGCCGTACCCTAGTGAAAGATTAATAACGGGACACGCCCTCCTTGTCGCGGGCCACCTTGTCGCGACCACCTTGTCGCAGGCCCACCTTGTCGCAAGGGGTGAAAATTTTTTTGCTGATATGGAGAGTAGGAAAAAGGCATTCTGGGCACGATCGGGGTTTTCTGGAGTAATCTGGTTCGGTTTTACTCTGTCAAAACCTCCGGAAGAATTTACCCGGATAAGAGAAAATAATAAAAGGGAAAAAACACTCAAAAACTTAATCAAAAAATTTTTAAAAAAGCCATTGTCGCGCTTCACTAATTAAATTTGTGACCCTAAGCAGGGCAGTTTGGGTTTGTTTTTCTTGTCAATGTTCTCTAATTTAAACATCTTCGTTCCTTCAGAAACTTCGAAATTGAAAATCGCCAGTCAGAAACTGACGGAAATCAACTAAAAAATTGAAAAAAAAACTTAAAAAACAAGATAAAAATTCCAAACCTTTCTAATTTTCCCATCGTTGTAGCCGTGGCATGAAGTATGGCACATGGCGAGCAAAGTTTGGGCTCCTAAACTGTAATTTTCTTAGAATTACACATTTAAGCCCCATTTTTTGAAATTTTCCTTTTTCGAATTTTTCACATATTTAAATAAAATATTGAAAAATTTTTTGTGAGAATTTAATAAATATTTAAAGAAACATTTTTTATTTTTTTAAAATTTATTTAACAATTTTTCTCACATCAGAAAAATTAATTTTGAACATTTGTGAACCTATAAAATCTGTAGTCATGAATAAATTATTTAATTTAATTTTTAAATATCTGTTTTATGGTCTCTATTAAGTTTATGCTTTTAATTAAATTTTTACAAACTTAATTTTTATTATAAACTTTCAAGTCTTTATTTCAAGTTTTATTTATTTGTATTTATATTCAAGTTTGTAAACTTGTATTTCCGGAAATTATTAATTAAATAAGTTTCAAGTTTATTTATTTTCCGGAAAGTTTTCAAGTTTTCCGGAAATTATTTAATAAAGATTTTCCGGAAAACTTAAAAACTTTCCGGAAATAAATAAACTTGAAACTTTATTAGTAGTTAACCCACAGTCGGTGTCGTGGCTTTTTACTAATCCACTACCCGTCAAGTGGTGGAGGGGTCCGACAAAAACCAAAAGGGAGAGGGAATGCAGCGGTAAAGATCAAAGGGAGTGGACACTGTCGTGGGGAAGGAGGGGTCCGATAAAAGGAAGAGAAGTGGACACCCAAAAAGAAAGAGGAGAAACCAAAAGAGGGAGTGGGTAATTTGTAATAAGCTGGTTAACGTCGCGGCTGGCAATAACACGTAATCATGTAGAACGAAATGAATGAGTGATTAATTAGTAGAGATGAGCAATTTACAAATCTTCAATGTCGAGAATTCGTATATTACTAGATTAAACCTTGTAATCCACTTCATATCAATAATGAAAGTGATTACCCAGATTGATATCTCAAGTGATTACTATACAGTTCGATTATAATGTCTTAATAATGATTTGTTAGTGATTACTCGGGCTGTTAATTAGACTGATACCCGATAATTTATTAAAAAATATTAAAATTCTCTATTTTCAATTCCCAATTTCTTTTTTTTTGCTCCCCCAAAATTTGGCCTTTGTTTTTAATACTTTTTCATAAATATAATTGACCTTGACCTAATTAAAATTTGACCTTAATCCTTTATTTTTTATTAAATTTCAAAATTTTTTAAATTTTTTCTATTTTCTCTTTGGAATATTTTAAATTTATGCAAATTTTTGTTTTAAAACCTCTTTGAAGATGCCGCCATATTTTAAAAATTTAGAGGTTTTTGTAAGATTTTCCTTGAAATTCTTTGACCTTTACACTAAAATCGTAGGTAATGGTGTAGGGGCTTTCGGCAAATTTCCATGTTAATTAGTATGACTAATTGACGACTTAGCACTACTAATTGGTTTCCATTTCATCTGACCAATGAATCGGTGTTATGTTTAAGCGTAACAAAATTAGTAAATAATTAATGACTTTGGCTGTCAAGCCCAAATAATGGGTGTTGGTGATTATTGAACAATTAATGCCTAATGAACAATTCCCTTTGTAGTTCCTACTTGTGGTAACTACTAATTGATTTTATTTTATATTACTACAGAGTTGAAGGTCAATGACACCCCTACAATTTTTTTCCCTTCTTTTACATCTTTTTTGCCCCCACGACAATATTTTATGGTCAAATTCTTTTGAGTGGCTGGTCAAAGACTAAGCTTATGCGACTATGCAAAAAGGCATACCTGCAGATGGAAAAAAGAAAGGCAATATTTAGGGAGAGTGGTCTGACAAAAAGAGATTATATCTATGAGTGAGAGTAAACCAAAAGGAAAGGGTATTTTTTGGCTAACCCTAAAGAAAACTAAAGTATAGCCTAACTAAAACCTAACCCTAACCTAAAAGAATGTATTTTGGCACCCTCGTGGTCAGAAAATGTGGAAAGATGCCAATATTCAGGACGATAGGTCAGACAACGAGAAATATTAGTTTTAAAAATCAAAAGGACGAGAAATCTTTTGAAATTGGCTACGACTTAATACCACTTTTCTCCTGCTCCTTCTACACTTTACTCCACTCTCTACTACACTCCTTTGATCCTCCTCCTACTCCTCCTCTGCCTTCCTCCTACTATCTCTCATCTTCTCCTGTTCTTTTTTCCCTTTGCTCATACTCCCTGCTCTTCTCTTTCCCTCATACCCCTCCTCTCCATTCCGTTTACTTATCTCATTAACTCCTACTCCTTCTCTCCTTTCATTATACTCCTCTCCTTTCCTCTTCTTTCTTCTTAACTCCTACTATTACTCTTTCTCTCCTTTGCTTCTACTACTTCTTCCCCTCTCCTTTCCTCCTACTCCTTTGCTCCTCTCCTTTCCTTCTACTCTTATTCCACTCTTCTCCTCTCCTTTCCTCATATTCATTTGATCCACTCCTTTCCTCCTACGCCCCTGCTTCTCTCCTTTCCTCCTACCCCCTGCTCCTCTTTTCACCCTCCATATACATGTCAGAACCTTTGGCAAAACTACAGTATACAATTGATTCAAGGAAAATTTTTTAAATATAATTTTTATTGTTTTGTTTGGAATAAAATTTTTTATAAAAACATTTTGTATTTTAATGCTTAAAAGTAGTTGATTTTAGGGGTAAAAGTGAATAATTAAGATTACGATTAGCATAATTAACGTTTAGAAGTTGTTGATTTTAGGAGGAAAAGTGCATAATTAAGCAAAAGAAATTGCAAAATGCATAGTGTAAAGTTTGAAGTAGTTAATTTCAGGGTTAAAAGTGCATATTTAGGTAAAAGAAAATACAAATTTTAAATTTTATTAAAACAATAGATCTTAGGTATGCATGTGTTTTCAGTGGGTGTATGTATTTTTAACTATACAAAATTTTATTCAAAACTAAATTAATTACAATTAATTACCAAATATCAATATTATATTCTTCATCTATTTTCTAAATAAATATTGGGGTATTAGGCCCCTCAGATATCGCTTATTGTTAGATATATCATTTGAGAGTTTATTCATCCATATTCTTACCAATTGATCATTTTTTCCACAAATTTAAGCAATTCGAGAATATGGAGACAGTCCTCTCCTCCAAATGTAATGCGCTCGATAATGATTGTAAGTAGGGATACGTGAATCAATTTGATAATCCTCACTACCTACTCCTCACTAAATCATCTTTGTTGTTGGATGAAAGCATGTCAAGAATTGTACAGTAAAAATACTTAGAGAGAGAATGGCAAAGAGAATACCAATATTTTAAAAGGGGTTCACTAGATAAAATAGAATATATTTACTAGAAGAAAACCAAAAGGAAGTGTTCTCTTCTTTCTTAACCTACTCTCATTCCTCCTACTGCTATTCTTTCCTTTACTCCTATTACCCCTGTTATTCTCCTGCTTATCCTCTTCAATCTCTCATCTCCTCCTACTGCTCTTCTTTCCTTTCTTCCCACTACTCCATTTCTTCTCCTCTCCTATCCTCTTCCATCTCTCACTTCCAGCTTCTCCCCTTCTACTATCCATTACTCTTACATATTTTTCCTCCCCATAGCCAAGTCAAATCCCTACAAACAACAGCAAGCAGTCGGTTCATGGGAAAGCTTAAAAGATTTCTTGTGCTGTCAGGTTAAAGAATAGGTTAAGTGGAATTTAATTTTTTAATTTCTCTTCTTTTCTATCTTTTTTCCTCCTCCTACTTATTCTCCTCTCGTTACCTCCTACTCCTACTCTCCTTTCCTCCTACCCTCTTCTCGCTCTTCCCACTCTGATCTTTCCTAAATCATAGTCTCGTTTTCACCTATTACATCTCCCTTCTCCTTCACCATCCTA